TCTTCCTGAGCAAAGGAACCCAATAGACTTAATATTTCTCTTATAGTGCTGATAATATTCAGTTTTAAGGTCTTCTGGAAACCCTGACAACTAAAAAATAATGATGACCCAACTGTATGTCTGTGGTTGAAGAACCATTTGAATTTCTGGTAGCTTCTGGAAATACTACTAAAAAAGATGAAAATGGTTATCTGTCAATGCCTGGCTAACAAAATCATTTCAAAGTGCCATGACCAGCAATTTAGGCAACGGCTGTGATTTTGTTTTCTCAAAAAAACCTCACTCTATGAGAAAGTTTTAATAAATCAAGAAGAACATACTAGTAAGGAAAAAAAAAAAAAAAAGACTGCACATTCAAAATTTGAGGAAAGAAAGATAGTTATGATTAGTTAGGCCTGTAGAAAGTGATTAGGTGATAAAGCTTCAACTTCCCAGCCACCTTCTTGATCCTTTCAGGAATTACATTGGTGRCACTGTAAAGTTATTTGTGCTGTACCTAGGCTCCTTGTGAAAACAAACAAGCAACCAACCATATCCAAACAAAACAAACAAAAAGAACAGCTTAATCTTTGAATGATTACTAGAATAACTGTATTTCTGAGCCTGCACACATCTGTTTGAATGACCTCTTATTTCAAGTAAATAAATGCACAAAAAATATTTTATTCTCAGACCAAAATTGACCTCAAGTCCCCGAAGGATTAGAGGTAACATCAGAGAATATGAGTTTATTTTCTCGTTGTGTAAATATTTGCCTGTCTCATCCAAGCACAGTATCTGGTAAGCCTACGTTACCTACAAGATGCACCAGGATGGCTTCTGTCTTGATGACATTTTCTTCCTGAACTATAAATCAGCTGTCCAAACAAAAATTAACCTTTGCAGAGTTCTTGATGTTTACTCTACACAGTCTGTTAGTTCTTAACAGGTCATTACACTTATACTAGTTAATTGTCACCACTACCCAAACAAGGATGGAGCCATAGCCCATGATGCTCCAGGCTCAATGGGAGAACTAGCAATACAGATCTACTTTCATAACACTGCTAAGGACTGTTCACTTTTGTTATTTGCATTGACACTTTGGTTCTCACTCAGGGCATTAGAACCAAGAGTACTAATCACGCTTATCAGAATATTGTAAGGTAATAAATGTTTAGAAAATTCTTAGATTCTTAAGTAGAAAAGAAATAATATTCATTTCTTCTCTTTTTGTTTAATGCCAATTAGTGAAGCATAGTTGAGGTTAATAATGAAATCCAAATGCAATTAAATATTGTTTTAATAAATTGTTATTATGATTAGTATTTACAGTGTGGTTACAGTGTGGACAATCGTGGTTGTGGCTGAAACTGCTGCTCGTTATGATAGATGTTGTATCATTAGGTAATATAATTAATTTACAGCATGTACTAAGCAGCTCCCATGGACTTCCCATCTTAAAAGTTTTTGTCACTTTATTTTAAAGTAACTTTAAAAGAAATTCTTTAAGAAAATATTATTATAATAAAGCATTATACAGTGAGCAGGAGAAAGAAACAGGTTCTAAAAGATGGATGAGATGCTGCTCCATAAGTTGACCTTTCAGAAATATACCCTCCCTTCACTGATTTTCAAAAGGAGTGTAAAGACAAAATTGCTTTAATTATAGCTTATAAACATAGATATAAGCGGTTATAATTAAACGTCAGTCATATCTGTGCCAGCTACAGTTTTGCTATTATCATGTAGAATAACCACTTGTGTTAAGGTTGCATGACACACACCATTCTGCTCTGTTTTTCAAATTCTTAATTCAGAAAATTTTCAGCTGCTGTGTCACATTTTTTCCAAAGATAAGGCTCTAATTCTCCAGTTCTCCAAAGAACACAATACAAAGCCAGAAGGATAATTTCCTGTTCAAAATAACATTCTTCCCTACAAAGAAAGCTTAAGTTAAAGACCACCACCAAAGATGTTCTTTTGAGAGAAAGGACATACACTTTCCCCAACAATACAGGAAAAGGTCTTGCTTTTTTAATAGCTTTTAACTATGGAAAACAGATGAGGATACAAGTTGAAATCTGATATAAAAATTATCGTCATGGCAAAGAAATGTCTTKGAATGTTTCATTGAAAATTGGTTTAGATTTGAGGGAGAGAAAACCTTTTGAAAAGTGCAATGTCTGCATACTTGTCTGAACAAGATTTCTTTTTTTTTCCAAGCTTTTAAAGTGCTCAGCTAGAGATGGCTGCTCTTTACTCAAGCTTAAAGCTAACTCTGCACCACGAAAAGCAAATGGAAGCCACATAAAGAATTGGTTATCTTATTGAATATTGTGCTCTTTGCTCAGCCAAAATCAACTCGCTTTATTATTTTACTATTTATAACACTTAGGGAGTGAAGGTTGCTGGACCTTATGCTTTCATGTCCTCTGATTGCTTTTTACCCTTATATGGGTCTTGAGTTGTCTATCTTGAAGTTCTTAATCTCATCTTCTCCTTTTCTGTTTTTAGATATCACTAGTACTCCTTATAGATATTGTATTAACACAAATAAAATATAGTGAATGAATAATAAATAAAAGGATTCTAATAGACACAGGTGAACATCCCCAGCTTTATTATAACCATCTTGCCTCCAAGTATTCCAGAATATTGCCTGCAGAGATTTTGAGCTCTCAGGTCATATGGATATCACAGCATATACAACCTAAGGTGAAAATGTAAACTGAGTTCAGAGTTGCTAATGCTGAGATGAAACACATAAGTATTCACACGGAAATTTTACYTCCAACTTTCCTGTGATTAGCTTCAAATTCTTAAAAGGTTTTCTTTTTTTCGGAGGGAGGGGTGTTGGGGAGAGAACATTTTTGGCTCTCTTCATGTTTATAGATTTTTATAGAGCTTATTTTGAAAAGCCATGGGATTAAAAACCACAAGTATCTCTTTTAGTAAAGTTAAACTCAACAACAGTATGATGATACTATTTTCTTGCCTTTTTTTAAAGCACAGAAAAGTAGACTTCCTTTTGAAAATAAACTGATAAAATCCAAGAAGGAACAGTTCTTTTTCTTGGTATAAAATCAAATATGACTGAGAACAAGGTCTTCATTTCATTTTACCATTTAATACAAAAACTCATTAACTTAAGCAATCCTCAAATATTCCAAAAGACAAAGTGTTTGCACTGCTCTGTTTTGATGCATCTGTGTTTTCAGAACCACAGGAGATTATTTTTCTTTTCTTTTTTTTTTTTTCCATTTCATACAGCGAGAGGTAGGAAATGTTATTATTATGCTGGTATGGCAAATATATCAACCCACTACCAAAAATCAATACTGTAGACTGACAGTATTTCGAAAGGGTTATGGCTTGTAAAAGCCCTCGCTCACATTACTACTGAAACAATAYTGCTCTCTCTGAGTGAGTCAGAAAGCAATAACAGAAACTGTTGCATTTCATATTATTTTATTTCTACTTAATGGCATTGGTTGTGAGATGCATTTGACTTTTTCTTTGCCTGATCTCAAAATTTACATAAATTCTTGAGGAAAATATACCTCCTGTTTTGAAAATTGGCTGAAAATAAAAGACTAAATAAAGCCGCCTGCCTTTTTTTTTTTCACTCTCTTGTACAATATTCTACTATAAAATATAAAGAAAAGGGACTTTTAATATTAAGAAATGCCTTATTTCTTTATTAGAGTAACTATTTCACTTCAAAGAAGCCATTTACAATCCATTTTGAGCTATACAAGCATCATTTCCTTTAAAAATAAAGAAATGCACTATATTTGTTAGAGTGCCGCTAACATGAAGAGTAGTGCAAATTAACGTCAGCTGAGGAGCTGAACTGAAGCATTTATTATTTCAGACCATTCTCTACTTCAGACTTGATTTTCTTACCTTTAGTTTGAGCCAACTCCTCCTTTTCTGCTTCCAAAGCACAGGGAGAAACAATAACTACAGAGTCTGCCTTATAACATTTAGAACATTTCAACATGTATTTAACCCATTTTCCCATGGATAAGATATCTGCGTGTTCTACTGTCTCAGAACAAATTGCTCTGTTTCAACTAAAAAGGACTGAGCCAGAGGTCTCAAAAACAAAGACACAGAGGGGAGACTACAGGTACCACACAACTAGGTGACACATGCGGCCCCAGGAATCACTATATTTACCACAGTGAAGTAAAGAGAAAAGCAAAGTTTCTCATGAGGTTGGCACGGTCTGAGACAGGTTATTATTTCCTTAACTSAAGTCATGTGCAACAGGGACATAAATGTACAATTAAAAAACTTCATCAGTTCCACTGGCTCAGCCATCCTTTGGTGTCATCACAAAGCAAACCATGAAAAACTGAGGCTATTATCTACCTTGGTATTGTAGTGAGAAACTTCACCAGAAAAGGAGAAATTTTACTAGTATAATTTTGGCCATAAGAAGACACACATTTGAAACAATGTTGGTTCTGAAACCAAACTTGCATCTTCCTTGTCTGAAAAGCTGAAAAGGGAGTTGCAGTATCCACCTCTTGCAGCCAGTACCACCAAAGGACAATAATTATAATAATTAACAACACTAACAGTCCTGTGGTTTACACCGGATCTACAATGAAAGTGTTTTTCTGAAATGGCTTTGTTATTTCTTGTATGTTTGAGAAAACAAATTGTGTTATTACAATATGCACTTGAAATACACCTATGGAAAAATCTGTTGAAGGAAAAGTATACACGCATATACCTAAATGTTCCACCAGCAGACAAAATACATAAAAACAATATTCACCGTGTTTTTAAATCATGTTTTTCAGTTCTAGACTCTTCTATTAGCAGAATAATATTTTAAAAAATTCYGTTCTAACTATTTCTTAAGAAGTATATAAGAATATCAGCTGATACCAAAGTAATTTTAAGAAAGCAAAGCAATAGTTTCAGCACTTCACAGTATATCAGTATTAGTACACAATCAGCCAAAGGTCACATTCAACATTCATCACAGGACCAATTAACTGTACCTTGAAGAGCATGGGCTCCTCAGGAAGAGGGCTCACTGGAAGCGAGGCAGTACTGCTGGCTGGGCTCATGTCTGCACTCTGAAAGAAAAACACAGAGCCGTTAGCTCTTCCAGGTGAACTTCGGGCATGAAAGCACCACGCCGCTCTTCGGTGCCTTTTCAAGGACATCTATTCTCATTATTAAAAAACAACATTCTCATAAAAACCCACTGGAAGTATTAAAACTAGAAGAATCAATAGAATTAAATTGAAAAAGCAATTGCTAATGCTACAGTTTTAATTTTTAAAAGATTAAATACGTTACTTTTGGCTAAATATTTTTGCGTTATGTATTTCAAATTAACTCTCCTTTCAAGAAGTAAAACACAAGCATGAATATACAGAAGTACTGTGTTTACAAAAAATACACAAGAGGATAAGTGAAAACAGAAAAAAGATCATACACAGCAAACTACCATAAATAACTTTTTTGATGTCCTGATATGAAATTATAAGGCAAAGCTAATATGAAAGCTATATATTACAGCGAAGAACTTGGATTTTTTCTTTTTCTTTTTTTTTTTTTTTTGAGATTACTTTAAAATGAATCAATATATCTTGCTAATGAGTATTCATATATGAAACGAGAACAACAAATTTAATACTGAAAATAAATTGGTATATACCTCAATGAATGTATCTGGGCACAACATCTGAATGACTGATTTAAGAACCCAGCCTCTGTCAGGTAGTATTTTAGAAACTTATTGGTTGACATAATAATTACTTTTATAGATGACAGGGCTGCAATAAGTACTGTGAAAATTGTGTGCATTTTTGAACCGTAATAAGCATATAAGAACAAAACCAGTTTTAAGAAAGAGATAGAAACATTATCAAAAACTCTTCAGGACAAAACTAGAACATCCAATACCTTTTGGGAAAGAAATTCTCAAGAGCTAAAAAAGGAAACCAAACTTATAATGGAGAGCATAAAAATCATATTTGCATGAATAGAGGAGAATCTATTTCCATTTTCCTGCTGAGGCTTTGCATTGCAGACTGATTTCATGACTTCAACCTATGCAATGAACTGCTGGGGTGTCTGCGTTGCTACGAGCCTGTGCGACTGCCCGTGAGCAAAGATTCCATAGGGGAACCCACTGTGGCATCCAGGACGAGGGAAGTAGGTAGGCAAGAGGAGATTCCTATGAAGGGTTTTATTTGATCATCTGCTTCAATAATAATAATAATAATAATAATAATAATAATAATAATAATAGTAATAACAACAATAATAATACTTTTTTTTTTTTTTTAAGTGAGAGCAAAAGATCAGATTTGGACTCCAAAATCCATTCCCAGACCAGATTTAGAGTGCAACAGACTCCCAGGCAAATACATATGGAGAAAATTACTGTGTTTAGTTAGCAAGGTATCACTATGCTGTAGCTGAAAGAAAAGACAACAGCTAATTTTTAAATAAAGGTTAATAAAGGCAAACAAAAAGGTAACGTGATAATTATTTTCCAGGAGGACGTCAGAGGTGGGCAGTTTATAACCTGTGCAAGGCAGAGGTTCCCTGGGAATGAGAAACATCATACCATGTCAGCAAGCCAGGATCTCTGCTGAATCTTTGGTAACCATGGACTGTTACACTTACACACCTGAGCTGGTTCTTCACAGCAACAGACTTCTAATATTTCTTAAAAGGAGGCAAAATACAGCTCTTTCAGATTAAATTCCAAGCAGAGTCAAASCTCGAGACTTTCTATTTGAGATTAGTCTGTCTAACAAGCAGCCAGTTCAGCTGAGGACAATTTGTCTTTTAATATACATRGAATGAAAAAGAAGTTTAATGAAAAAAAATCAAGTAGCTGCTTTCCAAACCAAACCAAGAAACTCTAATAAACGTTTGGAAGTGAACAGAAAGACAGAAAAAATATTTCAGCATTACAACAGCCTTGGCCTGCACAGCTGCAAGCAGATCGGTACCTGCTCTACTCCCCATGAGTCACTGCTTCTGCCAGCCTCAAATACAGCWAGAACCTCAGAAAGGTCAAACCACACAGTTGTTGGCCCTTCCAACAACTTCAGCAGTTCCCCTCCACACGGAATGCAGAACAGCTTCTCTGCCAGTGTAAATTAATTAAGCCCAGTGGTGCCAGTACAGTTTATTATAGGTGAAGTGAGAGAGACTATCAAAAAGGTTGCTTCTTGAGCTAYTAAAAAAAAATAAAACCTCTCCAGGCTAATTGCTGCTTTGAGAGATACTGTCAGCTTGCCCTCCTGAAGGGACACATTAACAATTTGAAACATTAACACCTCCCATCTAGATTCACCAGCTACAGGGTATTTGTCATAATCACACTTTGCTGTCTAAAGCCAAATAAAAAAAAACCTACAAATGTGAGGTATTCACCCAAGGAGGACTTTTTATTTGATACTCCCTAACCCAATTCTGTCTGCTAAAAAGCAGACAGTCTGGCTTTAACGTGATTGATTTTAGTCATAAATTAACTGGGAGATGCTACACCGTTATTCTATAATCCCATGTTAAGTGTCACAGTAGATGTTTAAAACTCTTCACATCATAATTACTCATATTAGGCAAAACAGAGGTAAATCAGGACATTCTCTAATTTTGCAGGACCTAGATCTGCAACTGTAGTATATATTTAACAAGTCTTTACTGCAAAGTACCGTCACCAGGTTTTGTAGACTGGGCTTTTTACCTATATTATGGGAAATTTCTTACCATTCTAAAGGGCATAGATATTTCAAAGTCGTAACCTCCTAAGATCTGAATATCAAACTATACAGCTATTCCCCAGAACAACATTTGAGAAAATAATGTCATACCAACATTGGAAAAAAGACTTCATTCTTTGAATTTTTATAGCCTTTTTTTTTTTTTCTCCCTCTGGAACTGTGTGTTAAAACCCAGTAGATGGACATCAGATGTTTGCAGATAATTGCCCCAGACTTCCATGACCAATGCTTGGGGATTTTTTTTTCTGATTTCTAGAGCTGATCAACCTAAATCTCCATCATCCTCACTGTGTACCTGCACATGGATTGGACAAACACTGCTAGGCAGTAAATGTCACTAATCCTTAGGGAGAAACATTAAAAAGGTGATTAACTATCAGGAGACTTCTGGAGGAGGATGCAAGCAAAGCAAGAAGCATAAGAAAGCAAATTTGTCCCACAGCAGTGGCCTGATTGCAGACGCAGGTTGGAGGTCTTGCTTGAGGACACAATCTCTCCTTTTTGGCTGGATGCAGCAAAAAGCAGCTTTTTCTGCAGCTGCTACCAAGTAGTTTTAGGCTTGGTGTTGTTTTGTAATCTTCATTTAACCGTGTTTCAGACCACAGTGACCATTTCATTAACCTGTGCTAATTGCTTTTGCCGTGCAGTGCATGGCTCCCACACTCGTTTTTTTGCACACAGACCCTCCTTAAACTCCAAGGCCCCCAGGCCGACAGCAGTTACTAGTGCTTCTATCATGACGCTTCTGTTTCTCATACTTTGTCAGGTGGCTGCTGGCAGAACAGCAATGTACCGCACGGGGCAGGCACTCTGAAGGCCCACGCAGAGGCTTCTGAGATTTTACCTGAGGGCACTGTCCACACAGGGCGCAAGGCAAAGCGAGGCCAGAATATGCTCTCAGWGGCTGAGGGACACCCATTCCCCAGCCACAGCAAACCAGCTCCCGTGGCACCGGCCACTCAGCATCACCGAGTCGCACAAGATGTGATGGATCCCCTCACGGCCTTCTTTGGGCCATGGGCTCGTCTCTACCCAACCGAGCTCATAGGCTCTGCAGTCCCAAGGCAAGGCTGGGACCGACCAACTCCAGACAAGGAAAGAGGTGGTGACTGGGCCCTGGGGTTCTAGCCCCTGCCCCAAGCCAGCCCTCCCTGATGCCACAGCACTAGGGCAGGGCTKGGGACACTGGAGGCGCTGGCCAGTRTCATTTGTCAAAAATGAACCAGTTCCCTCAGGTGAAAGGCGCCCCCAAAGGGCCCAATGCTGCAATAAGACCACTGCTACRAGCTTTCCTGAGCAAGGCTGTGCTATTTGCATGCTATTTGCTATGCTATCTCTACCCTTTTACCACTCAAATTACTGAGGAAAAGTAGAAAGCACATGCCATTCTAGTAAAATGCAGTGAGTTTTCCAAGCAGCACACCAGATCAAGAATATAAAAATGCACATTGTTAAATCTATGCTTCTTAAAAAAGAAAAYAAGTCATCTCCCAGTGTTTCAGCCTTCAACATTGTTCCTTAAATGAAAATAGATTCATCTCGTAAACTGGGATTTTTCTATCTATACAATCTTGCCTTTAATCTGTTCAAGAGGCTTCTGTACCAACCTTAGTTAATTGTACCATAAAACATGGATCACACATCGCAGATCATCCAGGGAGAGAAGCCACTGTAATTCCATACAACCACTTTTCTACAAAAGTAAACACTGAAATGATAGTTGGCAGACACTGAGTTCTCTTGGAGATCAGTATCGCAATTTATTGATCCAAGAAGTTAATACTGACAGAGAAAACCTTCAGTGGATATTAGAGCTAGAGAACAAATAAATTCTTATAATAACTGAAGAAAAGAAAGGGCCATCTGTGTACTTTACAGCTTTTTCTAAGGAGTAGTGGATGAGCATTGAACTTGCTTCCAGTAGTTTCAACTCTATTGTAAATAATCTGAGTATCATTTTATAATCTACAAGTTGGGCAAGACTGGGATATTAAACAGGTGCAGTCAGCAAGCTCAATAGTGACATTCTGATACACTCAAAGTAATGACAGAACTGCAAATGGACTTATTAATGGATCTGCAGAGTATCTTTATGCAATATTGTGCTTAAATATCATTTCCCCTTTTTATCAACAATGGAATCAAAAAGAAGGTCATTTGGTCAAAGCTACAGAAGTTTGTTAAATCAGAGCCAGAGGCAGGAATTCACCAAGCCAAGTACTATGGCTGCTCAGCCAACATGTGCAACCTTCCTCTATGTGCATGCTTGCTTTGGAAATGCTCTAATTTCTAGTTTTTAGATTATTGCATAACACTAAGAAACCTCA